GTAGTTTATCTTTGCCAGCATAAAAAAGGATTTGCTTGACAGCACTCATGAGACCAAAACAATGGAAAACTCCAAGGAACTGTAGGTTCTACAAAGGATTATAGATTTACACAAGTTCAGAAAGTCTGATGAAATCCTCCCCAAATCTGATTCCAGGGTCATCGGCTCAAACAAATATACACAAGTACATATTTGTGCCTGTACATATACTTTTGACCTTTGAAGCCTGATCCATGAAATAACTGCTAATTTTTTAAAAAGATTTATGGAGTATTTATTTAATTTTTTGGCAATAAAAAAATGAAATATTTATTTGAACATATGAGTTTTAATTTGTATCACATATGATACACTAGGCATTAAGGGGTAAAAAAGTATCCTCTACAATGGTTTCAGACTGAGAAAAGATCGATAAAATCTTTTTAAAAATGTACCCTGACATTCAATGCCCATGATAAGAACATGAAAAAGTCTGACCACACCGATATAACAATCTAGCCCAGAGGTATTCAATTAAAATTTAAGGAGGTCCAGTTAAACAAAACCAGTATTTCTCAAGTAGCCAAATAGCTGTAATGGTATCTGCATATAGTCAACAAATGGCTGTCATTCAACAGTATTTTAAGAATGGCTAAAATTCAGATTCCCACATCCTCCTCCACAGAAGCATAGTGGTAACTTCTCCATAAAGCAACACACAACCTTTCATACAAGTACCTTGAAAAGCTACATAGCAGAATTTAGACTGAGACATAGTAACTAAAGCTACACTACTCAACTGGCTGATGACAGCTGGAATTGGCCTTGATGATCAGGTTGTAATGTCATGAAACGTACTGCCAGTCCATATATATTCGTTCAGTCAGTCCCGAAATCTTCTCTCATTATGAAACATTAGTAGCATCGTAGTCAAAGGAGCTTGCAAAGAAAAGCGTCTGGACTTCTTTAAGTTACTTGAAGACGTTTCACCTCTCATCCGAGAAGCTTCTTCAGTTCTAAGGTCAAATGGTGGAGAGTCCCAGATTTAAACCTAGTGGGAGTATCCCCCCACAGAGGGACAAAAGGACTCCCTGATGATTGAGTGACTGAGAACCTTCACAGACATTAGTAGCATCGGTTTCAAATGCCACCATGTTCTGCTCAGTCATCATTCTTTGAAATGCACAAAGAGGGTGAATATTGCAGTATAAACATGTTAGACTCAGTGAAATGTAGTCTAATTCATTCTCACCTTGATTTTATATACACAAAATAGCCTATGTGCAAACACCTGGAACGCTTTATTATATACAGGAAAGCAGCAACTGATGCATAAATTAGGCAAACTTACCTAAAGTCAATGTCCAGCAAGATACTCTTTATTGGCTCAAGCTTTTGCTCCAGATTTTGCAGCTTGATCAGCTCCTGCAGTCTGACCCAAAAGGCAACAATCTCATTACTGATGAAAAACACATCTGTAAGCTTTAAACATTTAAAGCATTTAACTGAGATTTGACTAATCAAAATATTTAGCCTTCAGTATATGACAGTTACACATAATTGATGTATCACCTGTCAAATGCCATACCTACAGTGACCCACGGTGAAGGCAAAATCATGCTGCAGTGGGAATAGACAGAAAGACTTCTCCAAAATTAAGTAAAAATTCAGGTGATCACCAGTGCTACCCCTCAGCCTCATACTAGATGCACCTATGGTATGAATTTCAAAATCCTACATTGCCACTTTCTTGAGAATGTGATGTAACAGAAGGTAGTGTTTTTCCAAGGGTGTAGAGATCACAAAGTGTAGTTGTACAGAAAGATGTACATTAGCAGAGAGGACTTAGTTAGTGTGTTTCCATCATCATAGTTGAGCTTGTCACAGTCAAATTAGAAACCTCAGGTTACATAATGGCTCCATTTCTGCTTTAAGTCACCAGCTGAACTGATCCATCAAGGCAGTTCAGACAAGATGCTTCACTATAACTGAGACAAAATTTCTGATACATTCAAAGATCACGCTTGTGTCTGTCTCACCTGGGTGTGCCCACACACAGTATTTTCCTGTATCCCAGACCTGCTAAAGTATCCAAGAGAAAGTTTGCACTGCGGTCCGTGAAAAGGTACTGTGCGTTGCTCTTCTTGTTGTTCAGGGGACGCAACAGTGCACTGGGCCTCCTCAGCTGTGCTGCAGTAATGGGAGTGGATATGTGAGCAGAGTGAAGGCTGTGCTCATCTGGCAGGAGCAGAATCTGACAGTCCTGACAGAACTTCTTCTCATCCAGAGGGAGCGAGACAAACTTTTGAAATCTGAAGGACAAGATACAAATATCCTAAAAGTCATCCCATACAAAATCAGCATTAAATAAATAAAATGAAGCTTTATAAACATCCTAAGATAAGCAAAATGAGTATACATTCTCACCTGCTGCAGTACTCCTTATGGGTGAAAGGGGGCCTCGTTGACTGGTTCTCTGCTTCTCTGGCCAGCAGCCTGGCTTCTGAAACCTTTGACGCAAGTGAATTGAAACAAACTGATTGATGTCATATATCGTTTTATCATGAGCGCTGGAATTTTCCAGTAAGCCTACCTTTTCATCTTCCCACTGAAAGAAGTTGCAGTCTTTTCTATCTCGACAGGCCGAACATGCATAAAACCTCCGACTTTTTTCTCCTCCTTTACAAACCTTCTCAAACAGCAAGGTAGGACCTGACAAAATATACAAAGTTGTTAAAAGTTTGTTATATTCCACAGAGAAAAATAATATGGGTCATTTCTAACCCCGGAAGGTCACACAAACATGGACTAAAGTCTTCAGCTCACCTGTTCATTAAACAGAAATATTTAATCGCCCAATAGCATGGCAGTAACTAAATGTATTTAAATTTTTGAAATTCAAACTGAGCATAAAAATGGTAAAGAAAAGTAATTTAAGTTACTTTGAATGTAGCATAGTTGGTGTTCCCACACAGTCCGGTCTGAGACAACCATCTCTAGCGTTTACAGAAAACGGTCAGTACTTTGTGCCAAACTGCTTCCCTGATGGCGTTGAAGCCAGAGAAGAATAGTTAATCTGTTTTTAGCTGACCATGGCATGCAAAAGAGCATGTCTGAATGCACAACATAATACCTCAGCAGGTGCCTCTCCTTTCAGCTAAGAACAGGTAAGTGAGTCTACAAAACTTTGAGCATGGTCTCACAAATTTGGAAAAACATTGGCCGGTCTGATGACTTAAGAATTCTACAGCGATGTTTGGACAGCAAAATTTGGTGTAAGTAACATGAAGTGATGGGTGCATGTGCTTTGTATCAACAGTTCAGGGAGCTGCTGGTGTTATGGTGTGGGAGCTTATTTTCTTGGCACACTTGGGCTCCCTAGTACCAGCTGATAATTTAAACACCACAGCCTACTCGAGTTCTGCCACCTTGTCCATTCTCTTATGGCTGCTCCCAGCAGGATAGCGAGCCGTGTCACAAAGTTTGGATAATCTCAAACTGGTTTCTTGAACCTCACAATGAGTTCAGTCTACTCAAATGGCCCAAGAGCACCATAGAGATGTGGTCAAACGATGTATAGCAGACAACTGCGACTGCAACCAAAATATCTGAGAAATGTTTTCTGCACCCTGCAGTATCTGTGGCACAAAGAATCAAAGCTATTTTAAAGGAAAAAGAAAGTCCCCAAAAGTTGATTCTGTTCATCTGGACGTCACTCATCCAAGTGACTTCTTCAGTCTCAGCTGACTGCAGGTTTCCCCAAATCTTATAAACAGTACATTTGCATAATGACTGAAACCAGCCCACTGAAGGAACAAAGGGCTGGGAGGTCAGTTCCTTGGTCATAATTATGCAAATTCTCATGACCATTGATCAACAACCACTGATCACTGAAAAAGAAAGTCCAAACCGGTCGTGCCAAGGTACGTATCCACGACGGAATTTGTTTCCCCAGCGTGGGGAGCTGTAACTTTGCTGTATAAAGAGCTAACATCTCCAAAATTTCAGGAGTAGTTAGTCATTATAAGAAGTGTTTGTGAACTAAAAATTAAGAATGAGAGATACTGTTTGTCCGTGATTTGGACAACCCAGTGGATGCTGGAGACGAAGGGTCGGAGATGCCTTCCTTGGCACGACACCTGTAAGCGTGTGTACTATATTCTACATGTACACATGTAGTAGATTTTGTTTTCAGAAATACACCCCTATTACTGCTAGTTACTATAGGCAGGATATATTAAAATACCTCGATTACATGTATAATATCACAGATAATCTTGTTCTAAGTATATCAATAAAAAGGCTAAGCAACTTTAAAATAAGACATCAAAATCAGTTTGTCTTACTCTTCTAAGTAAACTTACCATGAGAACAACACGGGGCTGTTTTCTCGCCCTCATCGAGAATAACTTCTATTCCGTAACTGTTGGCATATTCCTCGTTTACATCCATTCTGTCGATTTTATGCAACAACAAAGTTTAGCTTTAAACCTTTCAACATGATATCGTACCCATGAAGCCCTTTTCTTGTCGCGGAGATATGACGTCACAACGACGTTGTCGCAGAAGGCAAAACAAAAGCTGAAATAAGATCATTGGTCCGGTTTACTTTGATGATGACTGAAATTGTTGTCAAAATTTACGAATTTCAGTTGTGTGGGGTTAATTGTGTTGGTAGTGGTTGATAGGA